AAAGCTTCCTCCCTTAAACCCTAGAAAAACCCTAACAGAATACTTTTAGAGCCACAATCAATGGCTCAAACCCAAGGAGAAGATTTCATCTCCGATCAACTAATAACAGGCTATCATCGCATGGAAACTATCGAAACCAAGAACTAATAATAAAAGTGGCAGAGAAACCATCCTTACCTCTTGGAATGAGAAGATGAATCCTGCTGCTTTAAATATCAAGAGTGCACCAGTTTGACGGATAAGGAACCAAGGCTCACGAAAAATTTCTTACTCTCTCTGAGAAGATGAATATTGTGACATTGCTTGAAGTGAGCTTGGGGTTTTATAGTGAAGGAAGTGACGCTTTAGTTTCCAGAAGTCAAACGACGTTTGGGCGGAAAACGCATTGCGAATCAACGGAGATGAGTGACTGTCACGCTTCGAGAAACCAAATCGTCGTTCTCTTCCGTTGAAACACTCAAGCGACGACACGTTTTCCCTCCTCCATATTGAATGCACCCCCATCCGCATTTAATGCTTTGATAGGGAATGTCGTTTCAGCATAGCTTGCATTTAATGCGCATGGCTGGCACTTATTGCACACAAGACACGTCTGTCAGAGCAAAAGATATTTCATTAAATACATCAGCTATAAAAATGCAACGGATAACATTTGAAGAGGTCGTTATATATGACACTCCTCGTCTTATGTCGCGAAACGACGTAACTCTTTGATTTTCTCTAATTTCAGTTGCGAAGCGACGTGACCACTTCGGCAAAAATTCCGCTAAGTGTAATAAGGTCACAAACCTCGGTCGAAAACCAGTCATTGCTATGACACTGAACATGGTTGAAGAATAGGTCGCTGATCCTAAAAGAGTAAGCCATGTCAGATCGCCTATACGAAAACGTTTCTTCGACCTCTGTGAAGCCAGGTCGGATCGACCAGTATCTCGTCAAACGCATCACATCAAGGCATAATATGTAGTTTCCAAGGTTCGACACTCAAACCTTAAAAACTAGGGGACTTCTATTATGCTTGGAAAAGTAGGGCTGACGCAGAGCCCTATCAGCGTTAGTGGTTAGAGCTTAGGTAAGTTCAGTAGCCATTCAGACGTAGCCACGTCGCACGCTGACGCAAGCGACATGCTCCTACCAGTGCAGTTGGTGTGCGCCAGCCTAGTGAAAAGCTGGAGGCGATCCACGTGTCCAATCCCTGCATGAGTCAAGTAAATCACTCTAGCAGGTGAGTAACGGGACGCAAGGAAGGATTTGCAAGACAATCTGACCCAATCCCTGATTTAGTAATCATTATCTCAATTCATCCCACTATAAATAGAAGGTTCCTCTCCCGTTTGTGGGATTAGCTAATTTCTCTTTGGAATAGCATATATACTTTTTTTTTCTCTCTCTCTCTTTCTCGTAACCTCTTGTAAGTTAGCTCGCTGAACGCAACCTGATCTCAAATATATTAATACAATATCAATGGATGTAGGATTCGCTTATTTAAGCATCCGAACCACTTTAAATGCCGTTCTTCATTTTTTACTCAATTCAATACCCCGGTATACGTGTGTCTTCTGAGTCAACTCAGTATTTCTCACGTGCGTTTAGTTAGTGTCAAAATCGAGCATCAACAAGTTGTAATCGTTTAGATTTAACAAATGCAATAAAAGATCAAATCAAAGTACGACAGTTCCTACTGAAACCCGTGTCCATATCACAAAATGTCTTTAATTATATTTGTTTTTCTATTAGTTTTCTTGTTTCTTATTGTAGCTTATAGATAAACTATCAGAGGAATTTAGGAAACAACGGGTGGAAATCAAGGCTGAAATTGTATCTGTTGGGGAGGATTTGAAAGTTTTAAGAAAAGGATGTAACTCGAAGTCCTTTAAAGAAGCAAAGTGAGGAATTACAACGAAGAAAGGATGAGGTGAATCGGCAGATTCTTGATCTGAAGAGACAACGGGATGAGACGGTAATTAAGATCTTCCTCTCGCAATTCATAATTAGGTCTCATCGACTTCATCGTTCTTTAAACATAATTTCCTTGTGATTAACCTCATAACATATTTCTTATATATTTAAGATCTCATTCAAGCACAATTGATCAACTTGTCTTCCATATTATTATAATAAATAATTTCTCGATCTGAAAGCTTAAAATTAACAAGTGAAAACTTTAATTTCTACTCAATGGATCGAACATGGCTCGGTACCAGCTACTTTCTTATAATAGATCGGTTATTGTATCCAACTATATCTTTTCTAATATTATATTTGCTGCTTCATAAATTTAGAGATCCGATTACCACAGATATGCTTCAGTCTTGAAGAATGCCAGAGAACTTACAAGAAAGAAAGATGTGAAAGCCCTTAAGGAATTGTCTATCCGAGAGGTTTGTCCAATATTAATAGATTTGATTGAATAAAAGTACACTCTTCAATTGTCCATATTAGTATCTTCTTACAAATTGACATTTAATTCTTGTCACAAAATCTGCAGGTACATATATTCATGTCCAAGTGGAACCAAAGCAAAGATTTTAGGTGTAATTATGAGAAAAGCGTCATGCAATCTCTTGAAAAGCGCCAATTCCAGGATGGACGAATTAGAAACCTCGACAAGGAAGCAAAACCAACTCATATCAAACCGCTAATATGAGTTGGCATACTAGAGAATGTAATTATATATTTGTATAAGTTGCATTTTCTATTCTCAAGAGGCAACATTGAAGGAAAAAATAAAAACAAAATACATTATGAAAAATATGATGACCCTTGAACAACATGATACTTTTTAAGTTCACCATTTTGCTTGCTATCGAAACTGGAATTATTGGATATTCAGAGACCTAATAAATTAATAATCTTATCGATTTGTCTTTCTCAGCGAAGAACTTAATCACCAAAATCAATTATTTTATGGATTATTTTACAAACTACAAAAGGGATTTATAATTACACTGTGTACCTGAGGTTTGGGGGATGTTCACTTTGCCCCAGTATTCCCTCCCAAAAGAGGATGAGTTAAGCTGTCTATGTAAGAAACAATGTGAGTGCACTCATAAATGACTGGGGTGTCTTTAAATTGAGCCATATGATATTTTTTAATTTTGCCATTCTATAGGTGTCCATGCTTGCAATGAGACTTGTAGACGGTCAAATTCTATAGTTACAGAATAGACTGATTCTGTGAGGTTGAGGCCACTTACGATCTGATAAACCTGCACATACACACAAAAAAAAAAAAAAAAAAAAAAGCGTGAAGCTTACATAAAACATCGGTGTGGTGTTTACCGTAGGTATTTTGACGCTCAAATCAACGAGACTGAAAGATGCTATTTAGTGAGGGCAAAGGGGAGGAAAGGTTACCGTTGAAATATGCTATTTAGTGAGGGCTACGGGGAAGAAATGTTATCGGAGTCTGATCAAAGATTAGAGTCATGGCGAATGTGCTTGTTCTTAGGAACAAGAACTTTAGGAGCTAGTAGGTGGTATTGAATAATGGATGCTAATGAGAGGTCAGGCCTCTGTTTATATAATAAACACAAGATCTACGAATTTTAGTAGAACTCTCAGTTCATAATTGCAAAGTTCCAGTAAATAGGAAAATCTCGATTTATAAGAAGTAAGAGTCCTAATTCATATAAGACTTCAGATCTTGGATGAATTAGGATAAAAGTGGAATTCTTGGGAGAATTTAGGATATTGATGAAATAGGAAGAAGATGATTTAGGATTTAAGTGGGACCCTTTGGAGTTGCCATGGGCCAATGGGCCTGAGCCTAGGTGGGTTAATGGTGAGGCCCAATATGGGTAATCCAACCCATGAGAAGCTCGGTCGGTGTGATGGACTAGCCCATGGCATGAATCTTTAAAGTAGACTCAATCGGAATTGAGTCATGGTATTAGGTCATGTGGTAGATGTTTTAGTGTTTGGGCCTGATAAGGCCTAGGACCTTTTTTTGGCCCATGCAAAACTCAAGTTATAAAAATTTCTGATTCTAAAGTACCATCAATTTGTGGAAAAGGTATCTTAGAGATAGGCGTTGACTTGTAATTTCTTTCCGTGGGGTGCAAGTGATTTTGACCTTGAATCATTTCGTTTATGAGCAATGCCGACAGTTATTGACGGATGTACACTAAATTTGTATACCGAATGATGTGGTAAAATCCTGATCGTTGATTTATTATCAGTTAATATTAATCAACGGTCAGGATTTTGTCTCGTCATTTAGTATACAAATTCGGTATAAACTTTTCGGTAACTCTATCATTTTCCTTCGTTTATTATATGGATTATCATCTGTCAATTTATATTATTTATAATGCACGTTATTCTCTTTGTAATTAAGTATCCCTTCAGTCATCTTTAGTGGTAAGATTGAAGATCACTCTACTGTTTTAAGACGTTTCCCAATGTAATTCATTTCTTGTAATCTGTGTTGAATTATTTGATTCATGAAAAATTGACGCATGTATGCAGAATATCACTAGCTTTCAGCATAAACCGGTTTATGGAGGTCATGGGAACTCGAATTATGCAAAATTCTCGCATTTTTGAGAGTGAAAAAGATACCAGTTACTTGCACGATATTGCGATTGACAAACAACTCAATCAGGGCCTTTTACCAAGTGGATATGTTGAGAAGAAAGTTCATCAATTCTACTTTATCAAGTTCCGGCCGTGTGAAGATCAGAATGTAAAATGCAGAATTGAAGAGGTTAAACAGCTGCTTAAAAAGATTAATCAAGAGCAACTTTCTATAAACGAGGAACTCGGAACAAAACAGGTACGTAAGCTTCAAATGCATGATGAAAGATCCTTGTGATGCTTGAAATAGATAGCATAAATTTCAAGTGCTAGTTTATGAAATAGCAAGAACCATCTCAGAATTTAATTGTACTGATGAATCTATGGACAGTTAAAGCGATCCCATGTGGTTTCAGAACTCCAATATTTAAGTTATAGGAAAGATGAAATCAGACGAACTCTGTCCTGGATACAGCTAACAGATAACAGAGAAACAGAAGCTCTGAATTCTGCCAAAAATGCATACAGACGGGGGGAGATTAATTCATGCTCGTCAAGACAACTTATTAGCCATGTAAGGATGAACACTGAATCAAGTAAAATAATTTAATTGTTCCTTTTTGTGATTATTGCAAATCTTTGGTTGGCATTTGTTTTTTGGGTCAGCACCGTGCACTGACATTGACTGAGCGCGGTTGAAATGCAGATGCGACACAGAACCAACAATTTGGCTACAGAAAGGCAACTCATGAGAGAGATTAAGGAAACCCAACAGAGTGAGGCTGTTGACTCATTTTCGCCGGTTAGAGAATTCAGTAATATGGTAATGTTAGACATTTATTCATGTTTATATATATATTATTTATTTATTTATTTGTTGTCGCATTCCTAGTTTGTGCGTGGATCTAATTGGTTAAATCTATTAGATTACATTATATGTAATTGTTGTTTGTTTTATTGGACTTTAAAGTATCGCCCAATGCAATCCCAAACCAACAATAAAGATAGGGACAAGAAGATCCTCAATGAGATCCAACAGATTCAATGGGCGGGGAAGAAAGCCATTGTATATGCTATTCAAAACCGAGAAATTCGGAGCCCGTTAGGTTCAAGAAAAGCTATTCAAGTCCAATTTGGAGTAAGATTCCCACTGCAAGTACTTCTGCAACCTCATTTCAATGGGAATTTATTAGTTAATTTTCTTATCAACTTAAAATTTTTATCTATTTCAATTTAGCTTATAGCGATACACAAGAAAATCAGACATGCTCAGCAAGATTTGAAGGCTCTAGAAAAAGATATAGACTGTAATATGGTTCAAATTTCGAATTTACAGCTGAAACAGAGACAAGTGGAACGGTACATTAAATTTGAACTGATGTTAGAAAAGGCTCAAAATGAGGCGGTAATAGTTTTAATCCCAATTTATTATTTAGCATTCACGTGTGCGCCTCTAATGCAAGTAACACAAAATCTGTCGTATTATGTTTAGTATTCTTCCAAATATGTGACATCTCCAATTCCTTGTTTTTGCTTCCTCGCATAATTCAGAATAACAGATATAACAGATACGTTTCAGTGATGAGTAATGCCAAAGAACTTGCAGAAAAGAAAGATGTAAAAGGCCTTAAAGAACTGTCACTCCGAGAGGTGTGTTGATTTCTACTAGAGGTTGAGCTTGGGTTCTGAGCCTTTGACTTATGGTTACTTTAACATCTTCTTATTGCATTTTTGAAACACCAGGTTGATACATTCATGTCTGAGTGGAACAGAATCAAAGAGTTGCAGCTTAATTATAAGAAAAGCACTTTAGAATCACTTAACAACCGTGAATTGAGTTGGGATGGACGGATGAGGAACCTGAATGAGGAACCAATAGTTCTGGAGACTCAAAGATACTTGAAGCAGAGTAGCTGTATAGATTGCCGCACAAGAGGATGGCATTGTAGTGGTTGCATATTCAATCCCATTGAACCATCCAGGCCAAAAGATAATAAGAAGAAGAGTGCAAGAAACCGTTGAGCCCTTCATGAGAATCATTTTCTATAAATAAAATTATTATGATCCCCTTAATTCATCGAGCTGGTTTGCCCGAGAGGTTAAGGGGGAAGACTTAAGATCTTCTGCACATAAGTGCGCGTGGGTTCGAACCCCACAGCCAGCAGTTTTTTATTTTTATTTTTCCCACCGTTGGTTTATCTTGTGCAAGCTTATTTTAATTTTAGTGAAAAGGTCATTAAACAACATGGTTTTTAGTTAAGAAAAAGGACACTACAATTAATGATAAATATCCTTTTTCTCTTATCTATTAACTTCAAAACGAAGCATTTGAAGATGTTAAAACACTATTAAATAGCCGGACTTGTTTGGTAGGACTTCGAAAAAAAAGAAAAAAAAGGGTGAAATGCATTGTACTAGTGCGATTGGACCGGAACATATAAGATAATGAGGGTAATCTTTATTTATTTTATAAAATTTCGGTATTTGGTTTACAAGTAATAAAATATTATGGGAATTTTTATCGTAAATAGTGTTTACCGTTAGTAATGTGGGGGATAATCTGATACCCTCCCCCACCGTTGGGATTAAAACATTACCGAGGTAAGCTAATTTTTATACCTATTTTACCCTTAATTAAATACCATTTTGAATATAATTATCCTCAAATGTCTACCAAATAACAATTAGCACAGCCCCTTACATTTGAGAAATTAGTTAAAACACCCCAACCACAAAAAAATTTAAAAGTTAACAAAATACCCCTAGCCACTCAAGNCCAACCTCGGGTAAAGCCCGCCCCTTTCGGGCCGGGCTGGGCCGGGCCGGGTACCCGAAAATGTTGGGCCCATTGCCATCTCTACATTTGAAGATGTTAAAACGCTATTAAATAGCTGGACTTGTTTTGGAGGACTTCCAAAAAAAAAAAAAAAAAAGGGTGAAATGCATTGTACCAGTAAGGGTGCGTTTGGATCAGAGCATATAAGATAATGAGAGTAATCTTCGTTTATTTTGTAAGATTTCGATGTTTGGTTTATAAGTAATCAAATATTACGGGAATTTTTATTGCAAATAGTGTTTACTGTTAGTAATGTGAGGGGTAATCTGATAGCCTCCCCCATCGCTGGGATTAAAACATTACTGGGGTAATATGATTTTTATACCTATTTTACCCTTAATTAAATACCATTTTGGATATAATTACCCTCAAATATATACCAAATAACAATTAGCCCAGCCCCTTACATTTGAGAAATTAGTTAAAACACCACAGTCACAAAAAAGTTTAAAAGTTAACAAAATACCCCTAACCACTCAAGACCACCGCCGGCTGTTACTTACCACTTTCAGCCACCAACGTCAGTTGTTGTAATGGTGCATGACCGGTGGGATTTGGTCGGTCGTATGCTGGTAAGGCCTTTTCTAGTCATGGATTTATGATTCATGGCCGAAAACGGAGAGATCTGGCCGTTTCCATGGCATTTCACGGCCAAAGATCTGACCTTTTCACGGCCACATCTTTGGCTGTGAAATGACCATAGATCTTGCCATAAAACCACCATGAATTTGTGATCCACGGTCGGAAATGGCTTTGTCGGTGCACTGTCGATCATATATGGCTAGTCGTATGCCATTCTATCGACTACCGATGGCGGACGGTAGTGGTGGTTGGCTACCGACAGTGGCTTGGGGTTGGTGTGGGTGATTTTGCTACAAATTAAAATTTTATATGGTTGGGGTGTTTTAGCAAAATTTTAAATGTAGAGGGTTAAAAGAAACGATTCAAAAAAATAATATTATATTAATATTTAAAAAGGAGGGTAATTTAGTAATTTATATAACATACCCACCCATTTATCTTTCCAATCAAACATATTATTCACTAATTTATTCAAACTAACCAAACACATTTTCAAAACATTCCCAGTAATTTTCAAGGTGATTTATTTTTTTGTTAATATAACATCTCTCTATAATAAGACATTATATAATTCAAACACCTCCTAACTAGTAAGTACATTGAAAGAAACTTAAACTTTGAAAATAATCGAGTTAAATCCAAAAAGTAGTTAAACTACTATTTCTTTTAAAAGTATTCCCCTGTATAACCATGTTTAATAATCTTAATTTCTAAAAAGTTAAAGGTTTTTTTTTTTAAAAGATATAGATAACCATAAAATCACATAATTTAACTTAATTGCTCTTTATGACAATAACAAGGACAAAAATAGTCCAAATACATTACCAAGTCTAACACCTTTTAGCATAGTCTAGTATGTTTTAATTAAACTATTTAAGCATACAGTTAAATACTAGGTTCGATCTAAGTTATCGAATCTAGCATAGTCTAGTGTTATTTATTGAAAATATATCATTTGTTTTTTCATTAAGAGTATAATTGACAAGTCATTGAATTTGACAACTAGATTTGTCCCGTAAATAAATTTTGTATATTTTAGAAAAGTATGATTATTGAGTTGGTTATATATATCCAAACCCCTATTTTTTTTTCCTTTACAAAGGCTTCCTCAAATGGTTGGGAAAGGGGTCCTAAATCTACATGTATAACCCATTGACACTCTTACCTCGTCCATATTTGAGTTTTAGTTCACTGAATCACTAAGCCTCAATACTTTTGATTGGATCTTGTGTTACAATTATCCATCCTGGATATTTACACTATCTTCTGTTAATTTTTGTATGGGCTCATGCGTATTACATTCTTCTAAATAAAATTCTGCAGCCACAAAAGAATAATTAAAGACAACACCACCAAACTTATCATCATGGGTTCATGAGTTGATATGGCTTTGCGTGGGGAACAAGTAGTTTGTAAATATCAACGGGGCAGCGGAAGACCTGAAAGTGAAGTCCAAAATTTAAGATGCCAAAAAGCTTATTGAAAAGGTGAAGAAAGAGGGTTAAATATCTTTGGGAACAGAACAAGTTACTGGTATGTATATTCTGGCGTATTATGATTTGTTGTCTTATAACGATTGAAATAGTAGGCAACCATGGCCTCGAAATCAATAGTAAATTTACTATGTTCACATTCCTAAGGTAAAAAATAAAATAAAAAACTTTAATGATACAATGTTGATATTTCTAACTAAAAAGTGTTCAGAGGATCTGTTATTTTATTGAACATCCAATGAAATAAAATAAAAAACTTTAGCATATTTCTAACTAAAATACTAGCAATTGAACATCCAAATTACTCTAGATATATTTTAAGATTGAAAGATAATTGAGTCATCAACCTATGCCCTTGAATCTGAAGAAGAAATCTCCAGGTGAACTCTGGATTTCGCTGGACCATCTTGAAGGAGTTGGAAAAACCTTGTAAATGGAGGCATGCCCATTTCTAAGAGACCCTCTAGAATTCCAATTACTTGCCCCATAGTCGGCCTATCCTTCTCATCATCTTGAATGCACCAACAAGCAACTTTGCAAGCTCTAATCAGCTCTTCCACAATGACATTACCTTCTAGCCTGTCATCTAACAAGGTAAGTACATTTTTTCCTTGGTAAATTGTATTCGCGACGCGCAGAGGAAAGTAATCATCAAACCCCTCGTCTAACAGGGGATGTAGGTTTCTCCTTCCTGATATAACCTCAAAAAGAAGCATTCCATAGCTAAAAACATCAGCTTTCGTTGTGATAGCTTCACCTGAGATCCATTCCGGTGCCAGATAACCTCTCGTTCCTCTCATGGTTGTCAGAACCCGGCTGAAATCTCTCCCAAAGAGCTTTGCAAGACCAAAATCAGCCACCTTTGGGTTGTATTCTGCATCCAACAATATGTTCTCAGGCTTGATATCACAATGTATGATACAGTCTCTGCACTCCTCGTGTAAATAAGCCAGTCCTCTAGCAGTCCCAGTGGCAATTCTAAATCTACTCTGCCAGTCTAGAATCCTGGGACTCTTTCGAAACAAAAGTGATTCTAGAGAACCGTTAGGCATGTATTCATAAACTAGAAATCTTTTTGAAGCTTCGGCACAAAATCCACATAAGCGAACAAGATTAATGTGTTGGATTATTCCTATAGTCTGCACTTCTGCGCGGAATTGCTTCTCACATTGCTTTAGACGTTTGTGTTCCTTAACAGCTATGGCCGTTGAATTTGGTAATGTACCTCTATAAACAGTACCAAAACCACCCTCACCAAGTTTTTCGGAGAAGTTCTTTGTTGCGCTTCTTAAATCCCTGTGTTTGAAAAGCACCAAAGAATGCTCCACTGCTTTAAATGAACCAGCATCTGAGGCTGATCGTCTCTTCCACAGAATTACCAGGACAAGGGCAAACAGAGTAATGAAGGCTGCAATTGTTGTACAAACAATCAAAGTGGTGTTTCTTTTTGCCTTACCTCTCGTTCCAACCCAATCCGATGCCGCACTTCGAAGATGTAAATGTCTTCCAGTCATACTATTAGATGCAAGTTGTTCTAGATTGTAGATATCTGCTTCCCAGATCAAACACCCATTATCATAAGCAAAAGCGTTGCAAGAACAGTTGCTCAAGCATGCGAATTCACAGTCTTCAAATGTGTCGACTGCTAAAGACTTTGAGCTCTCTGTGAAGCGTATGTTAGGCATCACAAGAAACTTATCCTTCTCTCCATCATCACATTGTAAAGGAACTCTCCTCGCACATCCACCTGTATGATCTCCCAGCTCCCAACCCTTTGCCATTTTTGGTTCAAATCCTTCCAAGCAAGCACAAAGAGGTTCTTGCTGCTGATCGCAGATACTATAAGGTCCACAGAAAGCATAAACCTCACATTGTTGTGTTGGTCGCGCCCAGAGCGGTCTCCACCCGTCAAAATTACTTCTCCATACAAATTGATTATACTGCCCAGAGGCATTAAGCACAAATCTAGTAAGAGTATTAGGAATGGCAGACGCGTAAGTAAGATAGCTCTCGTTCTCGTTCGAAACATATGTCATATTTGTAACATAAGGATTCGTCTGAATTTCAGGAACAAGGGTAAAAATCTTTCCCGTCCACTCCCCACTAGTCCAATACTGTTTAGTCTCATTCCACAGTAATACATGACTGGATCCAACTGCTTCGATAGAGAAGATTGAAGGCGCTGGATTTTCAGGGCTCGTCCAGGAAACTAGATTTTGTTTTTGATCTGTACGTTTATTGTACCCAATCTTTGAACCAGGGATCCAGTGATCGGTTGGGTGATCAAAACTCTGCCACAATACGGTACTAGACGAATCCAATGCATTTCTTAAAACAAAGTTTGCATTATCAAGAAGCTGTGCTGTAGTAGAATTAATATCGTTGGAGGACAAATTCGTAGACCATATTGTAGCCCCACTCTGGTTGAGTAGTACTAAGTTTCCATCTTCCAAGAGTTTGAATGCTGAAGATGAAGGATCTGAGACTGGTGTTTTTCTATTTGCCACCCAAACTACTGTTTTATCAGGAAATGATTTGTACCATATGCCAATATAGTAGCTGCGAGAGTTCCCTGGAGTGAAGAAACCCAGTTCAAATATTCCCTCTGCAGAGATTAACGTCTGGTTTCCTGAAAGAGACTGGCCTGGTGAGATTGTATCAGATCCTTCAGAGAAACAAACGAAAAATAGAAACAACAGAAGCAGCAAACACACAGAAAGCCATGTTTTCTTGATTATTATAACCATTTCTTTGCAGATTTGTAGCAGCCAGCTAAATTGGAATAATAATATACTCTTTCCAATTAAATTATGACTTTTCCAAAAAAAAAAAAAAAAAAATATCCGAATTTGCTTCTCAAAGTCTTCCCATACCACAATATAAATTCCAATAATGTTTGACTAAATGAAGCGTGTCTATTGTCGGCTTTAGCTGTCTCTACAGCGTGAGGTGATAGTGGCTACATCAACAAGTATATCCTTACAAAGAAGTCTACAAAGAAGCTTACAAAGTGAAGAAAAAAACAAAAGAAAAACGGAAAAAGAGAAAGAGAGAGAGAGAAATGATGGAGATGAAGGGTGGAGATTAACTTTGTATGCCTCCTTTGTAGGCTTCTTTGTAAGACTAGCACTATTGGTGGTTACATATCCATACACAATTAATGATACAATTTTCAACCACCTCAGTGGACACTATTGATATTAATTCAAAGTCAAAAATGTTTTTTCATATATAATTAATGGTACCATTTTCAACCGCCTCAGTAGACACTATTGATATTAATTCAAAGTCAAAAATGTTTTTATCCTATTTAAACCATGAGAATATAATAGATAACCTCAATGCCGACATATAAATCCTAAAAATAAAATTCTATTATATTTTTATAACTTAAATTGTTTTTATCATATTTAAACGTATCTGCTTAAGCTTTTGATATTACAAGAAATTTCATCAGAATTTGGTCGTATAAATTTCATGTGACAAACTTATTACATGTGACGAGACTTTTGAGATAAAGATGGATATTTCAACATTTAATTATTTAAGTTAGAAGATTGTACTTTATCTCTTCATGGTTGGTGAAGGCCTCCTTCTCCGTTCATTTCAGATCTTATCCTCCAATTTTGCGATTGATGACTTTGACTCAATAGGTTAATAAGGACCCCAATCAACCACATCCACATATATACTTGTATGATAAGAATTGATTAAGAAAATATAATTATATAAGAAAGACTGATATTATTTGCCCCTACATTTTATCTTTCAAGACCCTGTTTCTAAGTTTACCCCATTTAAATATTTTAGTATATGCAAATATTTTTATACCCTACTTACTCCCAAAAATACCTTTTTATTTAAAATTTTATGTTTCTTGTCTTGAATGTAATGTCAAGAGATGAAATCCATTCACGTATGCTTTTACTTTCAAGATTGTAAGAATAATAATTAAGAAATTTAGATACGTCAAAATAACTTACAAATTTTGGAGAAGCGCAAAAGAAGAAAAAAGTAAAGAAAAATTAACAAAACAACTTATAATTGCAGAGCATAAATTACATCTCCATTGTGCTTACATGATCTTAATCAAACTCTTTTAACTGCATAAATTTTGTTTCCGTTGTTTAAAAATAAAATTAGGATTTATTGAATTAGGAATTATAATTAAAATAAGAAATAAAATCTTTTAGATACCTATACTGTAACACTCACACCAAGGTACGTAATTTTATTTATTCCCTAATACCCTTAGTTGGATTTCTTTGAAGTTACCTCAGACAAATGTGAAGAAAATTCTTTAAAACTTTATGAGGGGTAAAATAGTATTTTCATTCATAATTAGTTGAAAAATTAGGAAATAAAAGGAAACAAAATAATGTGAAGAAGATAATTTTTAATGTTAATTCATATAAACATATCCACAAAACAACTGATAGTACAAGGTAGTGTTGGACAGTGCCACCAAATTCCTACACTTCTTGACATCCCATCCAATCGTAAATCATCAAGTACCTGCAAAACAGTAGAATAACAGAGTGAGCACTTATTGCTCAGTAAGTAAACCAAACTGCACTACTATTTTTCCTCTATTACTCATGTTCTGATTTTCCTTTTCTCACTTTAATCTTTGATAATATTCTTCATTCTTTTCTGATATTCTGCATTCTTTTCTGATACTTTGATTTGCTACTTATCAACGTGCAAAGACAATGAATAAAACTGTACATCGTTGAGCACATAAAAAATACTGAATCATGTAAGTAGCATAATACATATGCAGAATAATAAACTTTCCTGAGAAAAGAACTTTTTTTTTTTTTTTTTTTTTTCTGATATCTGTCTCTTATGTTGTATCTCTTTCTTTTCTTCTCTGTTTCTCTTTCATTTCTTTCTTTCTATTTTGGTTTGCTGATCGGACTAGGTTGATGCATGGATTTGGAACCCTGGCCATGTGAGTGTATACTGGGTACAATCCTCATCTACATGCACTGTTGACGGATCGTACTAATGTTGTATCTCTTTGCTGAGGCCACTCACTGATGGCGGTGTGCATGTAGGTATGCTCTGCTGGGTATAGTCCTCATCCACATACATTACTGACGGGCTGTACAAATACTGTATGTCTCTGCTGATGCCGCTCACTGATGGCGGCGTGCATGTGGGCATCTTTGACACTCACGGGTTCCCCATCGCAATAACCTTAAACATAAAATGATGTAGAAAGAGAATAGAGAGAGATATTATGCACATGTCAACATGAATTTCCAAGCTATGGAAATTCTACACTTGCATTTTTTAGTAAATGAGAAAACATACATACTTGCATGTTAGCTTAAAAGAAAACTACAAGTCATTTTCTTTTATTTCTTTCTCATTCTTTGCTAACATATTCTTTCATATTCTCATTTACCAAATCAAGGCTATATATAAATCATATGCACAATATATGCATGATCAAGCCCATTCTTTGATGTTCTTTCCAAGTTCGCATACACAAACTTGAAAATTCATTATGGCATAATGGTATGTCATGACATATTCTACCATTATCTTCTATCACAATTGCCATATCAAAGTAACACTTTAACTTGCAATTCTTCTCTAACACTTCTATGTGCATTTCAAGAAGTAGTAAATGTTCAAGTAACTAGAACCAAACACTAAGGGCCACTACTCTCATGGAACTGACATGACCAAGTAATATATTAAATTTTGCCATAACAATATGCACTCTTGAATACTAACATTTACACTTGGTTAAGCCCAACCATAATCTTCCTACTACAATTCTTGTCTTTCTCTAACCCTTCCTTCAGTAGGGTTTAGCCAACTCATGCATGCATTTTCTCTTTGGATTTTCATCAAACAATTCATATGCACATACAACTACTAAGTTGGCTACACTTCCACATCTCTCGAAATCCACTAAAATTTGAGCAAAAACTCACTTATTATAGCATCAAACCTGGCCATTTTCAACAATTTTTAACACTTCAAAAATTTCGACACTAATTCTTCCATAACTTCACCAAATCATCACATAATCATACACTACTTCTCATGGCTGGAAATTACACATCATTCAACTTCAAAAATAGCCAACAATTCTCACATACAATCACATAAAAACATGCAAGAATCATACTACACAAGTCTTGCTCAAATCAAGGCTAAAATTAGGTTTACTTACCTTGAATGTGTGATATCACCTCCTTTTGCTAAAAGTCTCTTCCTCTTGGACCTACATCATATAAAAACCATAAGAATTTAAAACTTTAAAGTTTAATCACACTCCTTTTGCTAGAATCTTACCTTAGAATGCTTTAGGATTGAAAATCTATGAAACTCCAAGCCAAATCCTATGATTTTCCTTTGAAATTTAGTGAAGAAAATTGAGAGAAAATGGGGGTGAAGGGTGGCGTGAATAAGGGTTAGAATGACGAGGGTTTAGGTTATTGCAACCTTATATATATATATATATATATATTCCCATTTTTCCCTTGCACTTTTTATGAAATTCCATCTACATCCTTTAGTCAATTACCAAAATACCCTGATTTTTATAATCTTCTTCACATTATTTTGCTTCCTTTCACTTCCCACTTTTTCAATTAATTATGAGTGAAACTACCATTTTACCCCTAATGAAGTTTTAAGGAATTTTCTTCACATTTGTCTAAGGTAACTTCAAAGAAATCCAACTAAGGGTATTAGAGCATAAATAAAATTACTTACCTTAATGTGGGTGTTACAATTCTCACTGCCTTGAAAGAATTTCGTCCGCGAAATTCAACTGAACAACTCAGGATAACGATTACGTACATCTTGCTCTACTTCTCATGTAGCTTCTTCTATTGTATGATTCCTCCATAGAACTTTTACTAGTGGAATACTCTTATTTCGGAGCTGTTTAACTTTTCTGTCCAATATTTGAACTGGGTGCTCCTCATAAACAAGATTCTCCTCTAATTCCACTTCTTCTACTTTCAATATATGGGAGGGATCACTGATATACCTTCGAACCATTGACACATGGAAAACATTGTGCACTTTATCCATATTTGGTGGTAGGGCTAACTGGTACACTACTTTTCCTACTCGTTGCAATATTTCAAAGGGGCCAATGTATCTAAGGGCAAATTTTCCTTTACCACCAAACCGCATTACTCGTTTGTAGGGGGAAATATTAATAAACACTTTATCACCCACTTCAAAATGCTACATCCTTTCTCTTTAAATCCGCATAACTCTTTTGTCTGTCTTGAGCTTGCTTCATTCTATTCCTGATAAACTTAATGTCTTCCATCATTTTTTGAGTTATCTCTGGTCCAAGAGCTGCATTCAAAACATCTTTCTCTCCTACTTCATCCTAGTGCAGTGGGGATCTACATCGTCTACCATATAGAGCTTCATAAGGAGTCATCTTAATTGTAGACTGATAACTGTTATTATAAGCAAACTTTATCAATGGTAGCATCTCATGCCAGGTCATTTTATAATCCATACAACACGCTCTCAGCATGTCCTCTAGCACCTGATTGGTTCTCTCAATTTGGCCATCTATCTGTGAGTGGTAAGCTGTACTAAATGCTAACCTAGTACCCAAGTTTCCTTGTAGACTAGTCCAAAAAGCTAAAACAAATCTGGAATCTCTATCTGATACTATTGTCTTGGGCACCCCATGCAGTCTAACTATCTCTTTGATGTAGATCTGGGACAACTGATCTAAGGTGGTACTGTCTTTTACTGGAAGAAAATGCACTGATTTGGTTAATTTGTCGAC